AAGGTTAGACCAAACACTTACCTCAAACTTCCACGGCCAAGTCAATCCTCAATTACTGCTTTTCCTCTTGAATTCGGCTCCAAATCAATTATATCTATACATGAATGACTTCATAACCTAAACAATTCGAATCCATTGCCTAATTATAGCTTTTCCATCATTCTTTCCAAAAACCCAAAAATCGACCCTGGGCCTGCTTGGTCAAAATACGAGGTTCGGACCAAAATCAAATCACCCATTTATCCACGAGCCCGAATATATAATTATTTCCAGAATTCGACCCCAAAACGAGGTCTAAGTCACAATTAATTAAAAAGCCCTAACTCTACCCAATTCCCTAATTTCTACCCTTAATTACATGTTTTAGGCCTAGAAATTCAATAAATATTGATGAAAATGGAAGAAAATAAGTTAAAGATTACTAACCCAAGAGTTTATGGTGAAAGGATGCTTCAAAAGTTGCCCTAGAACTTTGGAGAAGAAAGAGTTTGTGAAATTTTGGTGAAATCCCGTAATGGGTTCTGTTTTGGGACTTAAAAATAACTGGGTAAACTCATTCTTCGCGTTCGCGATGAGTCAGGTCTGTAGACCTTCGCGTTCGCGACACTGGGCTCGCGTTCGCGATACTTTAGCACCTCGAGCCCTCGCATTCATAGGCCAGTGGCCGCGTTCGCGTAGAACAAACTGGTGGCTCCTCCCCCTGCACCCTACGCGTTCGCGAGTTGAAGGACGCGTTCGCGAAGGGTCTCCCCCCTGAGCTTCGCGTTCGCGTCTCATCCTCCGCGTTCGCGAAGAAGTCAAAATGGCACCTGGGATCCTTGCCTTACGCGTTCACGAAAGGGACCATGCTGTCACACCTCCTTTTTACCTACATCCCCGTAAGAGGGGTATATAGGAGTTTTTTCCAACTTAAAGTGACAATCGAAACGGGATCATTTTATCAAAAATTCAGAGTCGCCACTTGGGATAATTTTATGGTGTCCCAAGTCACCGGTTTGAATCCCGAATCGAGGAAAAGATTGACTCTGTATTACAGTCCACGAACACAGAAATCCGGATAAGGAATTCTGTTAACCCGGGTGAAGGTGTTAGGCATTTCCGAGTTCTGTGGTTCTAGCACGGTCGCTCAACTATTATTATCGGCATAATTATCTAATTTTAAAACATTTTGAACCTATATGCATTTTAACTTGAAACCGCTTTTAATTCATTTTAAGAAGATTCCAACGTTATACAAAACACGCCTTTGGATCACGCCATATGAAATGCACCCGTGATCCGCGAGATATTTTATTTAATGTTGTCAAGATTTGGATTTGGGTCACATGAAATGCACACCCGAGTTTAAGGAAGTTAATTATTTAAAAAAATGCGCCTAAAATGACTGCGCATTTTTAACTTTGCGAGGGCCATGGAAAATTCGCTAAATGGTGCACCTCAATTTCTAAAGAGCAAACACATTAACTAAATGAGGGCCGCACATTTGAAATTTTATTTGGCGCGGCGCACCTCAATTCCAATTTTAAAAGGTACTTCAAACTAAATTTCGGAGGGCCATAAACTATTTGTGTTATCTGGTATGACTCACCTCCACTAACTAATGGGCCCAAATGATTACTTAACAAGGCTAGGAGCATTCTTATTTTTCTATTTTTATTAAATGTTCAACTAAATTCTAGTAACCAATGGATTGACAAGGAATAAAAAACTAAACATTTCTAATATTGAAAGGGCCTAAAACCGCGTCAGGCCCCATTAGAAAGGGCAGAATTGCTTATGATAATTATATAGGGGCAGCTGGCCCAACGGAAAGCCCAGATCGAGAACACAGGAAAAGCAAGCGAAGGATCGAATCTCATTATGTTAAGGCTGATAGCCAATCTCGATTCCAAGTACAGCCACAACCCTCTCACGAATTATTTCACTAGTTAACAACATAAAATCAATGATCACAACCCATGTGTATTTTAATTCGGATCAATACCTTTAATAGACCATAAACTTGAACTTTTCCAAAGGCAAGCAAAAAAGTAATGAGTTAAACTAAATATCTGAAAATTCTCAAGTCTGCTTCAAACTCAAACTCCATTTGAAAATCCTTTTAAAATTCAACATGTCTTTACATGAACAAGGGGGAAAACTAAGTTTCAAATTCCTGAAAGTTAGTAGGACTGTATTCCTGCTATATATAAGCGAATCCAGAACACATAGTTAATCGAAAGACGGCTGAAACTAGATTCATTGGGCTAATAGCATGAATAAGTGAATTGATAAGCATAGGACTTATAGCTATGAAAATGCACTCCATACAGCCAGACTCACACTCAACCCAACGGAATCACGGTCCTTAACTAGCACACATTATATAAAATCATGATTGAGTGCAAAGTCTAAACTACTGATGACTAAACAAGTTGTTTCCCCTCAATTTTCATGACACTACCCAATTAAATATAATTGCAAAGCTTCTTATCCAAACCAGAACTTAACTGGACAATAAACCACATCAGGCTACTAAAAGAAACACAATATCCAAAAGCAATACAGATGAATCACAAATAAGCTGATACTACACTTCAAACTACTGCTTTTCATTTCATTCTGCAAATCCAACTTCACAAACAATAGAGCTTAAATGTGTACCTGGAAATTGAAACAGGAAAAGAAAAAGTGAGGGGTCAACGGAGTAGCAGCAGAGAAGAATCCAGATGCAGTCAATGTAACAGTGCCCAGAAATCAGCAACTCAAACCAGTAAAATGAGCCAGACAACAGTGGTTTCAAACCAGAAACCAAACGACAAAACAACTTTCAAACCATTTCCAACCCAAAATAGACCCCAGGTTTATTTCAGAACTTCAAAACCCCAAGCATTGCAAGAAAACTTCAATGTAACAGTGTTTTTTTTTTTCTTTTTTGTGTTTTTCTTCTAATTGTTCATTCTTTTCAGTTTTTTCTCTTTTTGTTTTGTGTTTTCAGCCGTTTTCTTTTTTTCCAAATCTTTCTTCTCCTCCCCTCAATTCTTTTAGAAAGTGAGACTTTATAGAGGGATTAGTAGGGCATAAAAAAGGTTTCAGAAATTTCTTTTCAATCCCTGCTCAATTTTCATTTATGCTTAAAGGACCTCAGCTCAAAACTCTAATTTCATGCTAGTCTCCCCAGTCAGCTTCTATTTCTGTTACCAAAAGATTTCCCTAAGTAGACTACCCAAATTATCCCTCAAGCCCCTGAATATTACTATTGAAACCAAAACCTAAAATGGGTCAAAACTGTCCCAAGGCTGAATTAATCCCAAGCCCAACCCCAAACCATGAGCCAGTATAGACAGCCCAAACCAAAAGAGTTCTCAAACTCTGAACCCAATAGAACTCTACCAAATGGACCAAGCTACTGAATTCAGCAGAAACAAAAGAATTTTCCGAGAAGCTCGAAAAATAATTTTTAGCAAATAAACGACTAAGTAAACTTATACTACCATAATGCTAATCCGTCTTACTGATTTTAGAATCAAACTAAAGCTAAAGAAGAAATGAAAATCAGAATCAAAGCCTCAAATATTAACTAGAATAAGAAGGGAAAGAATGGAAGGGGGCTGTTTAGAACCTGAAGCAGGCGAAAAGAACCGGAACAAGACGAATACCTCGACGGCCACAAAGCTTGATAGACTTCAAACGATTCCGACTCGGCTCGAAACTAGTATTAGTCGTGTGTTCCTTTTGAGAGCAAACGAGCTATACTCGTTTCGAACCCAGCCATTCATCAGGACTTGAGGGCTCGAGAGACTTTCTTCTCCTTCAATCTCAGATTTGAAAACAGTCCGATTTGGCAGGGGTTTTGGGAAAAATGGTGATGGAATAGGGTGCAGGAAGGGGTGATGATTGCATGACCAATTTCTGGTGGTGATTGGAGCTATATCGCCGGCAACCATGGCTGATTCGCTCAAGGGTGGCGTTGTTTGGTGGGGGAGATGAGAGACAAGATTGTTTTAGTCTTAGGTTCAATTGGGGAATTCGGACAATCTTTTGCAAATGGGGGAAGTGTTGATAACCGTTAGATGAGATGAGATAGAGGTTGATTGAAACCTTAGGAGCTCAAAACCACGTCGTTTAGCTACATGGGGCGGACCAGGTATTTGGGTGGAAGTGGGCCGGATCTGGTCGGGTTTTGGGAGGGGAAATCATTGGGCCTGAAGGGATTGTACGGAATTGGCCCAACAACTGACTTATTTACTTCTTTCTTTCTTTTTCTTTTCAAAACTCTTTTAAATTAAATCTAAAAGAATAAAAACCTAAATTAATTCCTAAATTATATTATCCTACCACATTGAATTAATTAACTCTAACTAAAAATTACCACAAGTAATTAAAAACCAAATTTAAAGGGAAACTACCAAAAATTCAAAGATTAAAATTAAAAAGTGCAAAAGTAAATTGTTTTTTTTTTGTGATTTTTTTCCATTTTTATAAAATAACTAATTTGTTAATTAATCCTAAAATATAGAATTGAATCCTAAATACAAATGCAACATATTTTGTATTTTTCAATGATTAAACAAAATGAATCATGCGCAGACAAATGCAAACACTTAACAAAAAATGCTACAAACATCTACGAAATTGCAAGTAATGGGAAAAAATTATTTTCTTGAATTTGTGGGAGTAATTCATATAGGGCAAAAATCACGTGCTCACACACGCGAATGCGAAGGGTAAAATCCCAGGGCACTAACAACAGAAAACCTGCAACATTTCTTAAGCCAAAAATCATTCTGAAACACCTCCGAAACACTCCCGAGCCCTCAGAGCTCCTAACCAAACACATACACTAACTCAACAACATCATACAAACTTATCCGTGCAATCAAATCACCTAAATAACCTCAAAATCAATGAATCAAACCTCAAAATCAAGAAAATTTCCTCAAACTTCATCAAGTTTCCAATTTAGAAATTTAAGTCCGAAACACGTAAAACGACGTCCGATTTCAACCAAATTTTACAGGAAGAACTTAAAACATATATAAGACCTGTACTGGGTGCCAGAACCAAAATACATGCCCGATACCATCGCTTTCTAATCAGATTTCATTTCCAATTTCCTTAAACATTTTCAGAAAATAATTTTTCTTAAAAATTCATTCCTCGGGTTTGGGACCTCGGAATTCGATTTCGGGCATACACCCACGTCCCATATTTTCTCGCGGACCCTCCGGGAGCGTTAAATCGTGGGGCCGGGTCCGTTTACCCAAAATATTGACCAAAGTCAAATTTATTTAATTTAAACTCAAAACTTAGCATTTTTCACAGAATTTCATATTTAAGCTTTCTGACTACGTGCCCGGACTGCGAACGCAAATCGAGGTGACCCTAAATGAGGTTTTTAAGGTCTCGAAAGCACATAATACAATTAAAAGCAAGTGATGACCCCTTTGGTTCGTCATAGACGTAAACCCTTTTTTGCTTCCAACTCGAGCTTATGAATTGAACCCCAAATTTTAATTCAAGCTTATGATTATGCTCCTGTGGCTGTACAAATTCTTGTGAGCTAAAAATTAAGTAAATTCTCATGCACCTTTTGCCTCTCGACCGAGAAGTTTCACCTTGCCTAAACGACCTCGAATATTTCAAAAGATAAGGCTCATCTACCTATTTCCTTGACTTATTGTTTATGCTCATAAGGATCAATTCTCATTTCACCATCTTAACATAATGTAGAGAAGTGTTTGAAATAAGGCCCGACACACTCAAATACTTGAACTTCTGTTACATCTTGCATTTTCGTACGTTAAAATTTCGTATTCAGTTAACAGACGTAGTCTCGGGGATGAGATCATCTTGGCGTTAATGTACTTACACTATTTGTAACAAGCGATAAATCNTGGATCACGGGGAGCTGAACATTCGAGGACGAATGTTTCTAGGGGGGAAGGATGTTACATCTCGCGTTTTCGTACGTTAAAATTTTGTTTTCATACTCGGGGATGAGATCATCTTGACGTTAACCTATTTATGCTATTTATAACAAGCGATAAATAAGCGTTATGAAGGATAAAAGGGTACACGGATTAAAAAAAAATGAGTTTCGTTGAAGTGGCCAATTTGGAAAAATGCGGGTCGAGCGATAATACCCGATAATTATGAACTAGTACCATGCAAGGTACCATATGACCACGGTAGTATAATATATAAAATATATATGAAGTATTTTAAAAATAAATAGAATTTTAAGTAATTTGTGGTAATTTTTAAATTATGTGGGTAATTGATTAATTACCGGGTAACAAGACATTACCCAGTTAACTAATAAGTGGATAAAAAAATTAACATCCCACCTCCACCCCATGTGGCAACTAGCTACATTATCAAGAAATGACTAAGAGTCATTCCTTTGTTAGGTATCAAATGGATACAAATTCCATTCATTCTTTCAAGACTTTGGATATGAAAGTCTTTCTAATTCATTTTCATTTTGAAGGCTTGCAAAAGAATGTTGCCTTTTGAATTTCAAATTCCCATTTCATTTCATTTTGAAGGCTTGACTTTGCAACAGAACGTTGGCTTTTCTGTCAAGTATCCATGAGACTTGATCTCATTTCCTTATAAAAAAGGATTTAACCAACAATCTGTTCTTGGTTTGAAACCAAGAACGTTGAACAGGAACCATTTCGTCCAAACAATCCAAAAAAATTTCGAACCACTATTTCGTTCAAGGATTCAGAAGCTTCATTCCGTTCAAATAATTTTAGGAACAGGTATGTTAAGGCCCTCCCTTCTTTCTTTTGGCATGATCCAAATTACACTGAAGAAATGAGCAAACACACAGTTTCCATAAATTACTCTATTCATAGAAACAGTAGGGGTGTCTATATTCTTGATTCCTCATGAAAAATATTATTATCTTCTGTTCATGGGTCTCAGAATAATATGCAGTTGGAAAAGTTTATCCGGAAGGAATATTGAGATTATTACGTATTTTTCATGCATTTCACTCATTTATACATGTGCATCGACCCATGACCAGATGGCGTTATATACGCGTATATATGTAAATATATGTATATGGGATATGGGAAAATGTTACGGCGTTATATACGCACCACCACCAGATCAACTGGTATATGTTGATGATGTTGCCCACAGTGGCCGAGACGATATGATGGGATGCCCTCAGTGTCTTGATGATATTACGTACACCCATACCTATGCATGGCCCGACATTTTTACGCATGTGTATGACATTATAAAAGTTTCAGAATTTATAAAATTATTCAAATTTAAAGATGTGTTTCTGTATTCCATGTTTCATCTATGCCTTTTACGTACTAATTTTCATGCCTTACATACTCAGTATATTTTTTGTACTGGCGCCCTATTTCACAGAGCCTGCATTTTNACAATTATGTTTCTATTAGAGGTCTGTAGATAGTATGTCTAGTTGGGTTGTATGTGGCCTTGTCAGCTTTCAGTTTTGGATATATAACAGCCTTGCCGGCTCGCCCACTGTATTCTGCATGTATACGTACATATGCCTTGATGACGTGTTTCCTTCATGTAAGTTATTTTCATAATGCAGCAGATGTTATTCAGGTTTATATCTTAGACGCATGCTTAGGGGTGTTTGACAGGTAGGACTCACGCACCCATCGCGGCTCATCAGTTTGGGTCGTGACAAAAGTGGTATCAGAGTGGTTCTGTCCTAGGGTTGTCTACAGACCGTGTCTAGTAGAGTCTTATTTATGGGTATGTTGTGCACCACACTTATAGACAGGAGGCTACAAGACATATAGAATGTTATCCTTTCTTTTTATCTCAGATCGTGCGATGCAAGAATTCATGTTCTTAACGATATGTTATATTTTCAGCGAGGCCTCCAAAGAGTAAGGTCGCCCAAAAGGGAAAGTCCGTGTCTGGTGAGACTACTAGTCGACCGCCACGAGTTACTAGGGCTCGTGGAAAGTCTCATGGTAAGGTTCCATCTCAGATTTCACATACCCCGCCCTTCCCAGAAGAGCTCTAAGGGGCACCAACTCCAGCGCCCACCCCTGTACATTCAACACCTCATCCGGATGCACTAGGTCAGGAGATGAGAGATGCTATTCAGTTATTGACTCGATTAGAAGTCGCACAGGCTCGACGTCAGGAAGTAGGTATTGGTCACGCAGATAGGTTTGTGGGTGCGAGGGTTCATGACTTTATTAATTTAGACCCTCAAGTATTCACTAGAGCAGATCCAAACAAGGACCCTCAGGTATTTATTGATGGAGTGCAGAGGACATTACGGGTAATGAAGGCCATTGCGACTAAGTTAGTTGAGCTAGCTTCCTATAGACTCCGAGATGTTACAGTTAATTGGTACGAGTCTTGGGAATTTTCTAGAGGTGAGGATTCCCCTCCAGTAGTATGGAAGGAGTTTACAGAAGCTTTTCTTCATCATTATCTGCCATAAGAGCTTAGACGGGCCAAACTTGATAGGTTCTTGACTGTGATGACCCGGCCGATTGTATTAAGAATTTATGCCCCGATCCCCCATTAACTGCTTTCCCTAAGTTTATTTCTGCTATTTTGATTTGCTGGGATGTTCGGTTTTGAGTTTCAGAGAGTTTTGGGACACTTAGTCCCTAAATGAGAGCTTAAGTGTTGGAAAATTGACTGTAGTCAGAACAGTGCGAAGACGGCCTCGGAATGAAAATATGATGGTTCCGTTAGCTCAGTTGGATGATTTTAGGCCTAGGGGTGTGTTCGGATTATGTTTTGGAGATCCGTAGCTAATTTAGGCTTGAAATGCCAAAAGGTCGAATTTTGAAGTTTCCGGTTCGATAGTGAGATTTTGATCCGAGGGTCGGAATGGAATTCTGAAAGCTAGAGTAGCTCCGCAGTGTTGAATATGACGTGTGTGCAAAATTTCAGGTCATTCGGACGAGGTTTGATAGACTTTTTGATCGAAAGTGTATTTTTAGAGTTTTTGGAATTCTTAGTCTTGAATCCGATAAAAAATAGGTGTTTTGATGTTGTTTTGAGCGTTTTGAAGGTTGGAACAAGTTTGAAT